TGGGATCAAGGGTTTTGAAATTGATTATTTATCAAAATGAAGAGGAGATCATTATTCATAGGTTTAGAAGGTTGGGATATAATCATCATCATCATCATGAGCATCCTCTTGATATACAATCATCTTGCTCAGAAGATTATCCAAGAATCATCCAAGGATTAGGGTTTGAAGCATTGATCATTATCTCCTAACTTTATGGTCCTCAAATAGGGTTTTGGTCAAAGTCAACGTGTGATTGACTTTCTAAGCAAAAATTGAGGTTGTTTCGTGTTTATTGATGCAAGGTATCCATTTTTGATTTGTGAATCATCATCAGTTCATCAGAAGAATCATTGCCATTTGAAAGCTTGAGAAAATTGATTGTGTCTGAGAAAAGTCAACAAAAAGTCAAAGGTTGACCAATGAAATTTTTGGTCAAAATTGAAGTCAAAAGTTCATATTTCAAGTTCATGTGGTCATTGGTTGAGAAAAATCAAGAGAATTGATGATTTTGAGGTAGACTTATCAAAGAAGTTATCCTGGATAACTTAGAAATTTTTCTAAATTGAGGTTAAGCCATTTTTTGCAATTTCCCAAAGATCATATCTCACTCATTTTTAATCATAAATTTACAAACATGTGATTAATGGAAAAAGGAATCTCTAAACTACAACTTTGTCTTTGATGGTTCATGTCCAAAAAATCAATGGTTAAAAAGTTATTCAAGTTTGAAGTGAAGGACATTTTGGTTAGAAATTCCTATACTTAGTGAAATTTTCATTAAGTTGACCTCACTTTTTACAATTTTCATGGTCAGTTTTGATGGACTTACAAGCTTTAAATCTAAAAGTAACTACCATGAAAGTTGTAGGAAATCTTCTCCTCTTTCCAAAAAGTCAAGTTCATATTATTTGGATAAAAATTGAGCAAGTTATGAATTTTTAGAATTATGTCACCTTTTATGCCATTTCAAGTCACCAACTTGGCCATTTGAGAATTAAAGCATTATGGGTCATTTTGAACTTTCATAAACATCATGTGCAACTAATATACACACAAACCAAACTCCCGAACTTACCAAATCAAGTCATGCACATCCATGCACCTCATTTTCACCAAATTGCCAAAAAAAGCCAATTCCAAATATCTTTCTCTCCACTCCACCACTTGGTCCCGCCTTTTAGAGATATTTTTCTGACATTATGAGCAAGCAAAAAACACAAATTCATCCCCTCATCACAAACAAAATGCAAGCTCCACATACACACTTAATTTTTGCATTTTCTTCCAAACTTACCCCTAACAGATTTTTTAACCCATGGTTAACTCTCAAATCTCAAACACACCTTCTTTTTAACTCATTCCTCACATCATAAACCCCACACATGCCTCTAATTGTTGAAAAGTTAGATCTGAAAAATTTTCACTCTCTCAAAGTTTTCATCACAACTCCCTATTATCTCAAGCTCTCTCCAATTTCTTGCTCATTTCCTCTTCCCTGAAGTTGGTAGATCAAGTTTCTTGGGTTTCTTAAGAAGTTAAAGCAAGCAAGGCAGTGTACCATCTTCCACTTGGTAAGCTTCACACTACTTGATCTCTCTCATTCTAGATCTACAAATGCCATAAGAATCATCATTCATCTGTAGTTGGCCCCTACAATAGGTAGGAAGTGGTTTTAATTCAAATCCGAGCTTGTGTAAATTCTTGAATATTTGAAATATGTGTTGAATCTTTGACTTCCATGCTTATTTTCTCTATGCTTGAGTGCTTAATTTGAGACCTACTTGGTATGGTTTTAATCCTCTTGCTTCATAGATCATTTTTGCTTTTTATATTGTGTTTTCATGGAGAAACAAATGAGATATGATTGCATGAAGGCGGTTGTATGAGCATAATGTTAGGGTCTGATTTCATCATGATTTGTAGGTTTTTTATTTGGTTGGAGGTAGGAGACGAATGTGTCCTGCTGTGGTTGGCTATTGTGTTTTTTTTTGTCTTATTCAACTTAAACCATTGTGATCGGTTGATATAAATTGGACATAATATTTCGTTTATTTAAATGTGACACCATAATAATAATAATAATAATAATAATAATAATAATAATAATAATAATAATAATAATAATAATAATAATAATAATAATAATAATAATAATAATAATAATAATAATAATAATAATAATAATAATAATAATAATAATAATAATAATAATAATAATAATAATAAATCTGATTAAATGAACAAGTGGCGCTAGCTAGACCGGGCCTATGTAGTTTTCTTTTCTTCACCCCATACTTGTTAGGCTTAATTGATATTTACATCAGTTTCAATTCATTTTAGCCATTCGGCTTTACACGACCACACCATGCTTTCTCTATTTTATTTCTTTCCTATTTTAATTCGTATTTTTATTTTCCATTCATATAAAAAATGCCCAAAAATATGTTTTATGACATTTGACATCTCAAGAACATGTTGACAATTTTTATTTTATTTTTCAACCCTTTTTACTATTTTATTTTGATTTTAACTTTAAATGTGTTTTTAGGTGATATTTTTGTACTAGCTTGATGTTTTAATTTTATTTACTAATTTCCATTAATCTAAAAAATGCCAAAAAAAAATATGTTTAATGTTCCCACATGTCTTGAGTTGATTTAGGTGATTTTTATTTGATTTTATCATCTGTTTTGATCTTTTCTAAAATTATGTTTATTCAAGGTGTCCCAAATTTTCCCTTTCTCTAGCTAGTCTTTCTATTTTAATTTCAATTTCAATTTTCCTTCAATATTAAAATTTCCAAAAATATGCTTTTGACTTGTCTATGCCTTGATATTGTTTAAATGATTTTTGTTTGATTTCTCTCATCATTTTTTCCTATTTTTCTTTGAATTAATATGTGGAGGTATGCTAATTGCTTTGCCTTAAGAATTTGGGTTTTGTTTGATGATGTTTGAACCTGATCTTGCACCAATATTTTGGCACAATTTAGAAACATGCATGTCTAGGATTCAAATCACTCTCTTGTGAATTTTTGATAATTTTATACTATTGTTGGTTGATCTCTTCATGCCTCGATGCTTGCCAATCTTGTGAAACCCTAGTTTGTTTTTTATGATGATTTTCAAATGGTTCTTGAGCATGCTTTGAATATTATTTTGTAACTTGATGAATTATAATTTCAATAATAATACATTATAATTTGAGAATTATTTTGACATCACTTAGAGGATTTTTTCCATGTCCCTTTTCTTTGCCTAGTTTAATTGATTTGTTTCTTTGATTGGTGTTATGTCTAAGGGATGCACTTGTGCAACATTATGGGATTCTTTCTCACTTATTACTTGATCTTTTGTGATAAGTTAGGAGCATTTATTTAATCCTTGTGAAACATTTATGTGCTCTAACTTGATGCTTCTTTGGTTTTCTTCTTTGAGGACTTGTTGCCTATCTTTGAGACCATAGTTTTGAATATGTATTATGCATTTCTACTTGATAAATATGAGTCTAATGCAGGTTGATTTTATTTTATTTTTCTTATGACCTGTTTGGTATTGATATCCTAATGTCATTCTACTTTGATTATTTGATTAGTATTCCATTGCTAATTTATGATGATGACATTTTAGGAGCTAAATCCTTCTTTACTTGACCTAGTTTTAATCTTAATGATTGGTAAAGCTTATAAGGGCTTGCAATCCATATTTAGTTTGAATGATTGGACTTTGCTTCTATCTCTCCTTTATTCATACCTTGAATTCATCATTCTTGGACCACTTTTCCTTAAATGAACAAATGATTTGTCTTGGATGATGTTGATCTTTTGCTTTGCTAGTTTTCCATAAACTTCGAGTGTGACATCTTGGTGAAACTTATTGAAGTTTAGGAATTGAGATTAACACTTTATGATAAGCTATGCTACTGACCCATGGCATCTAAGAGTTTAATTTATTGGCCATTTTCTTACTTACTTGATTTGAATAAATATTCGATGGCGACTTCATTGTTTGATTTATTTTCCTAGTTACTTCAGTTGGCGACTTCACTGGGGATCACCTAAGTGAATTAGTCCTAGATTTTGTTTATTTTTTCTTTGGGTGTTTACTTCTTTTTAGCTTTATGGCTTGTTCATTTATATATATGTTTACCTGTATATATGTTTGCATTGCATTTTATTGCTTCCCAACTACTGGTTATTGCTTTTGTGTTGGATCTTTTGTGTTTTCATGGCGGGTGGGATGTTACTTGAGGTAAAAGGCCCAATACACAGGCCAAAGTTGTAAACACCTGGGAACAAATAGGACTAGAGTAGATGTTCATGACACCTGGGGGTGTAGGCCCCATTTAGAGATCATGAAGTACTACGCGCATACGAGGTTCATTTGGGGGCATTATCGTCTTACATACCTTCATTATGATGATATATTTTCACGTGAAATCTAGACTTTGTGAGCCTTTTGACCTTACCCTGGCCAGATTTTACCCGTGAGATGGGGGGATTGATATTAACAGGTACCATTGCTGATGTTCTTGACACTTGGTTTCTGAGATGGTGTCGAAATATTGATCATGTGGTATTCAGAAACTGCACAACAAATTTTCAGTCATATAGAAACCTTGATCGTATACTGTTGAACTTGCATCATAACATCCATAAAAATTGTATATATGAAAAAAAACTAATCCGCATGTGTATATCATTTCTAGAGAATCCTGAAGTTACCGTCTGCGTTAAGTATCACTAGCCAAGAAGGTTCAAGCAAGAGAAGTACCAGAGGAACATCCAGTTACAAGTTTCCTAAGGTGGACCTACTACCATTAAGAAAGTTGAGTACACTTGTGGTTGATAGGAATCAAGAGATTTTTAAAAAGACACATGGTGATCTTATATACCTGCTGAACTTGAAGATTGATACAATGGCCCTTAAAACCCTCCTGCAATTCTATGATAGTAAGTTACAGTGTTTTACATTTTTGGATTATCACTCGCTTCTACCTTAGAAGAGTGCGCTTACTTCATGAAAGTCAAGATTATAGATTGTGTGCCTTTCGTCAGTGTGTCGGAGGTGATTCGATTTGAGTTGATCGCTAAAGCTCTTTATTTGAGTATTGATGAAATGAAGGAAAACTGGAAAACTAAGAAAGAAATGTGCGGACTCTTGTCATACCCCAAATTTGCCCGCCTCGGTGGTACAGTCAAAATTAGGTTTTAAAATTCTTTTGGTTCGTTTACACTAACATTCTTTGGTTTTTATAAATATTCATTTTTGAATTATTTTACTTATTTAAAAATATACATAATAATTTATTTGTACTTTTTAAAATAACAAATACTTGTTCATCTTCGTATACTTTCAATTAGGTTTTTGTTTCAAACAAGCATAGCACAATTTATTAAGGAATAAAGCTTGCAAATATAAGGTCATGGGTTTGAATCTCACTTGGTGCACTTTGAATATTTTTTGTCTATATGTTACTAATTTTATTTCCATTTATATTCAAAAAAATAACAAAAAACCATTTTTTATTATTTAAATATTATTTTTGTACTTTTAATTAATTCATTTTTTTTAAAATTATTTATTTGATTTAATGCACTTTTTACCAAAATTGAGTGCAAAAATTATAATAAATACCAAAAATATTTCATTTAATATTTAATTGTTTTTTATTGGTCAATCAGTGTCAATTTGTGTCATACTCATCTTATGATTGGTTAGCTTGGTGACCAAGGAAAATTTCATTTGTCAATTAACTTTGTTTCTTAATTTGTTGACCTAATTATCACTATAAATAGGTCACTCTTTCACACTACTTTTCATCCACAACTCAATAGAGTTCTCCTAAAAGTTGTTGCTCTTCACATCGAAGAACAACAACAAAGAAACCCTGAAGTCTCCATCAACAATCATTTGGAGATCAATAATTATTTTAAGGTTACGAACAAAACACCTAAATATATATAGCACACACAACCTCTGCATACAGATTTCCACTGTCGCTGCCGTCACCTTTAGATAAGTCTTTCTACTTATACTTATGTTTTATTTATTTTATCATATATGTTTACCATGTTCTATATATATTTGACTCATATGAACCATGAGTATTTACAGTAAGTGGTGTAGAAAAATTGGGGTAGTATACACTAGTCACGATTCTAGTTTTTTTTTTGTTTTTTTATTTTGTTCTCTATAACTTTCAATATTAAGGATAATGCAACAATGGTGAATTGTATAGAATTTATAATAATATAAGTTGTAGGCTAAATTTTATATAATATTAAAACTAATTTCGTTCATAGTACTTAGTTTCTATGTAGGTTATTTTATAATATTAAATAATTTATTTTTAATTTTATTTTATTTTTTATCTTTTAGGATGCAAATAATTTTTGTATCATATTAATAGGGTTAAAATTTAATTAGTTTTTTTATTATTATTAAATCAAAATATTCATCATTTGTAAACAAAAATAAAAACAACTTTTTCTCATTTAATTAATTTAATATTTTACAAAGATATTACTAAACTCCACTGCTTAATTGGGCCAAGTTCAATTTCTGAACTTGGGCCCTTACTACTTACACATCCATGTGTTTTACTACTAAACTAAGTTTACACCTCCACTTGTATTTTCGGCCCAGTTCAATATCTAAACTTAGACCCTCACTTGCCAGACCCTCATATTTGACTACCTTGTTGCAAAATGCACCCCTCAGCCAATTTGGATTCAAAATATCTTTGGATCCAGATTTTCTTCTAATACACCACCTAGTGTTAATTTTACACCCATGTGTGTAAATCGGCTAAGTTCAATTTCTGAACTTGGGCCCTTAATATCCTAACCCCACTTTGTGTCCTACCATACTCTTTATCAATGAAACACTTAAAATAGCTAACCAACGATCAAACCACTTTTCTACTTACATAATAAAACCCAATAAATTTTTGAAAAAAGGATTAAATATAATTACATTCAAAATTAACTGCGAAGTGCATCTACGATCACTCAACTTATAACCCAGACAAGGTTTAAGGATAATTTGAAATCAATTATACGTAATCTTATAAAAACACCAACCAACACTACAAACTACGAATTAGGACTTTGATTCTTCTTAAAAACCGTGGTGAGTCCCCAAACTAAAAAATTAAAACTCTATTTCTAAACCTTTAAACCTAAACCCCAGTATCCTTGTAAACAAGGTAGATGAGGGGTGCCTAATACCTCCCCTTCATCTAAAGCGAGTCAACAACTTAGAATCTCGAATCCAAATCAGGGTTATCCGTTATATTCCCTTCCTTAGGATAAAAATTAATGGTGGCGACTCTATATTTTTTTCCGGTTACGAAAACTCTCTCTGCATTTTCTAATAAGGAAAGCTATAACCTTTGGAAAATAAGAAAACTAGATCGCTTTTAACTCATTACTGGCTGCAATGATATATGAGATAATTCTCTTTCTTAGTATAGAAAACCTTGTGGATTTGGCTTCCATCTGCATTTTTATGAACAAAAATCCAATATCCACTCTATTGGGAGGTACTTACTTCACTATCCATTCTAGGTATGGAAAAGGAGGAGCTATTACATGTTGTCTCATGTTGTTATACAGTTGGTTTATGTCTCATTTACTTACGAAGGGGCCCTTTGTAGACACCAAGGATTCCATCCAGTGGTCTAAAAGGCTTTCTGCTCTCACTTCTCACGACATGGTCTGGTTCAATCAATTTTGTGATAGTGCTAGAGTTATTATGAGCCGTGTGGAGTTTCCTAATGTTCCTCTCATAGGAACAAAAGGAGTAATCAATTATATCCCTCCAAATACTGAATAGGTAGAAGAAACTGTTTTCTTTGGCAAAGGAGAGAATCCTGAGTTGTTGAAAAGGGTGAGAAGCGCTTGGTATGAAGTTCATCGAAAAGAAAGAGTTATCTTGGGAGGAAGGGGTTTCTTAGCAAAATCTCCATACATGGCATGGGTCAAAGAAAGAATCAATAAGATCTTATTACCTTTTACCTATAGAGAGTCCTTTGTACAAATAGCCCCTTGAGCAACCAAATAGGCCAGATTTTGTACTGTTTGAGCAATTCAATCAAATTGGTACTGAGGGTAGAGAAAACACAAGAAAATGGGGTTTGAATTGTGCCCATAGAAAATATTCCCCATTAAAATTCTAAGCACTCAAATGATAATAGCAGTAAAGACAATGAAGATAAAGGACTTAAGTATTTTATCCAGGTTCACCATTAACTAGGCTACTCCTGTCTAACCAGCAATTTATATTTGAAGCCTTGTTCTTATTTTATATCCCTTGACAGAGAAAGACGTTGTAAGGATGTAACAGACTTTTCCTGCACTAACTTCAGTTCCCAATGGATAAAATAAGGTGTAAGAGTTTCGACAGTATAAAATAATATTTTTGTATCCTGTCACTGTTCAATGATAGCTTTCCACCTTTTTCTCTGAATAATATTTTTCTATTAAGCTTGTAAACAAAGATCTGTTAAGTAAAGAAAGATAGTTTTAAATCCAACTGTTTGTTCCCAACAATCACAATGAGAGTGGTTGTCAATACAGTAAAAAGGATTGTCCTTACGCCATCCTAGAGAGTAGAGGTCACATACACTTTATGTACCTTTTGCACAACATCACACGTTAACCATTTAAACTTTCTTCTTACCTTCAGAGGGTTTAAATATTTGAATGTTGAACGTTGAAGTTTTTTGTAGAAGAATGTTTCTTATGAGCCCTAGAACCTAAGTCTTTGAGTCTTCAGAACTTGTCACATAAAACCTTATTCTTCAGAGTCTTCAGCACTTGGTTGTAAGAACTTCCTTTTCTTCAGATCATCAAAACTTGTTCAGCAGAACCTTGTTCTTCATAATCTTTATAATCTGTAACACAAAAGTAAAGCTTTAGAAGGCCTCCAAAGATAAACCACAAAGCCATGATCATAACTTCTTATAATAACGTTCCTAAGACATGTTGCAGAAGATCAGTTCAGAATCTTGACTTTACCGAAACATGTAACCACATTTTTTCTTCCAAAGTGTATGTTCATAACCTGATGACGTCACACGCCTTGTACCAGAGTCAGAATTATATAGCAGAAACTACACACTATACGAAACCATTAGTGTATACAATTGTTCTCTAAGATACATGTGAATTATCTCAAGGCCAAATGTAGGAAACACTTCTTGTTCTTACAGGTACCATGCATAAAAAATTACAAACAGAAAATCATGAAAAAAGATAAAGAGCTCTCATTTTCCTTATAAGATAAGAGGAAGCTGATTCATGAAATTAAGATGAAAGATGAGCTTTTGAAAGACTATGGGTTGCTTGGAAATAGCAGAAATCAGAAGAAACCAAGAGCTGGAATTTCTCGCGCTACCGATAATCATACATAAGTTCTCGCGCTACCGGTAATCAGACAGAAGTTCTAAAGAAGACTCAGGAAGATATTTCAAGGAGTCAAGAGAAGAGTGAAAAGCTCTAGATATCCAAAGAGAAATTGAAAGCTAAGCATAGAGAGGAGATTAAAGTTTTGAGTAAGAAGCTCCAAGATTAGGAGGCTAAGACTAAGGCAGTTTGTAATTAGAGAAAAGGGTTTGAACTTCATATTCAAAGCAGACATGTGTAGATAGATAGGTTGATTGATGAGATTGACAGGCTCAAAATTTAACTAGCTGACAAAGGCAAGACTCTGGGGGAGGAACCAACTAAAAAAGCAAGAGATGTTGAAGAGTGGGAGCATAAGTGCAGGTACTTGATGACCATGATGGATAGGAAAGACTATTTGATTCAGAATTTGATTCAAAGGCCGAGACATGATATAACGAAGAAACAATTTAAAGATTCCAAGGCTTGGAGCCAGAAGTACTTGGGACAGGGCCCCTTGACCTATGTGGAGATTGATGGCAGTTCTTAGTATTGTTATTTTTTTCTATATATTTGGTGATCACCGCCAGGATTGTTGGTCAGGATCATTTATGACTTTGTATTTGTATGAACTCGTGTTGAGAACCATTTTATATGGGTTTTATGATATGAGCAGTTTTTCTTCAGATACGATTCCATCTCATTTCCTTGCTTTCCTTTATCTTGTTGATTCCAATTCTTAATGAAAGACAAAACTTCAGGATCCCCTGGAAATGGTAAAACATTACATGCATACCCATACACTCATAGCATGTCATGCATGGC